GGTGATGGTGACCACAACTCTTCCTCTTCCTCTTCACGCTCATCTACGGCCTGATCCAGCACTCTTCGCAGGGCACGCTCCAGGAAGAAAACAAATGGTATGATGTCGCTGATGGTGCCTTCGGTGCGACTGACTAGGTTTGTCACCTCCTCAAAAGGACGCAGGAGCCTACAGGCATTGTGCATGAGCGTCCGGTAACGTGGCAAAAAAATTCCCAGCTCCGCAGAGGCTGTCCTAGCACCCCGGTCATACAAATACTCGTTAACTGCCTTTTCTTGTTGGAGCAGGCGGTCGAACATTAGGAGTGTTGAATTCCAACGTGTCGGGCTGTCGCAAATCAAACGCCTCACTGGCATGTTTTTACGCCGCTGGATATCTGAAAAGTGGGCCATGGCCATGTAGGAACGCCTGAAATGGCCACACACCTTCCTAGCCTGCTTCAGGACGTCATGTAAGCCTGGGTACTTATGCACAAAGCGTTGTACGATCAGATTACACACATGTGCCATGCCCGGCACATGTGTCAACTTGCCCAAATGCAATGCCGCCAACAAATTTCTTCCGTTGTCACAAACCACTTTGCCGATCTCCAGTTTGTGCGGAGTCAGCCACTGATCCACCTGTGCGTTCAGGGTGGACAGGAGTGCTGGTCAGGTGTGACTCTCTGCTTTCAGGCAAGTCAACCCCAAGACGGCGTGACACTGCCGTATCCGGGATGTGGAATAGTACCTGGGGAGCTGGGGGGGTGCCGTTGATGTGGAGCAAGACGCAGCAGCAGAAGTGGACTCAGTCGAGGAGGTTATGGAAGAGGATGGAGTAGGAGGAGTAGAGGAGGTGGCAGCAGGCCTGCCTGCAAGTCGTGGCGGTGTCACCAACTCCTCTGCAGAGCCACGCATTCCATGCTTGGCAGCCGTGAGCAGGTTTACCCAATGTGCAGTGTAGGTGATATACCTGCCCTGACCATGCTTTGCAGACCAGGTATCAGTGGTCAGATGGACCCTTGCCCCAACACTGTGTGCCAGACATGCCATTACTTCCTTTTGCACAATCGAGTACAGGTTGGGGATTGCCTTTTGTGCAAAGAAATTTCGGCCGGGTACCTTCCACTGCGGTGTCCCAATAGCTACAAATTTTTTGAACGCCTCAGACTCCACCAGCTTGTATGGTAAAAGCTGGCTAAGAGTTCAGTCAAGCCAGCTGTCAGACGCCGGGCAAGGGGGTGACTTTGTGACATTGGCTTCTTACGCTCAAACATGTCCTTGACAGACACCTGACTGTGGGCAGATGAGCAGGAACTGCTCAAGGCGAGAGACAGAGGGGCGGATGGTTGAGAGGGGGCAAGGAGGACAGCAGTGGTTAATGTGGCTGAAGATGCTGGACCAGGAGGAGGATGGCGGCTTTGAGTTTGTGTGCTGCTTGTACTCATGTGTTGATCCCATAGGCGTTTGTGATGTGTGATCATGTGCCTTCGCAAAGCAGTTGTACCTAGGTGGGTGTTGGACTTCCCACGACTTTCTTTTGGCACAGGTTGCAAATGGCATCGCTGTTGTCAGAGGCAGACACACAAAAAAAAATGCCACACTGCTGAGCTCTGCAATGACGGCATTCTGGTGGTGGCCGATGCATGTTGTCTGACTGTGCCACTAGCTCCTTGCGACGACCTCCCCATGCTTCCAACTCGTCTCCTCCTCCTCCTCTCTGTCTCCCCATCTGAACTTTCCCCCTGTTCTTCTTATCTTCTAGCGGGCACCCACGTGACATCCACGGACGCATCGTCATCATCAACCGCTTCACTTGTATCTGACAACTCAGCAAAGGAAGCAGCAGCGGGTACAACATCATCATCATCACACCGTACGTCCATGTGTGTAATGCTGCCTGACTGAGACATATCCCTGTTATCTACATCCTCTGGCAATAATGGTTGCACATCACTCATTTCTTCCAACCGATGTGTAAATAACTCCTCTGACATACCAAGTGAAGCTGCTGTGGTGCTAGTGGTGGTGGCGGCAGGCGGGCGAGTGATAACTTGAGAGGTGCCCGAAGCTAAGCTGGAGGAGGATGGTGCGTCAAGGTTCCGAGCGGAAGCTGTAGAAGATTGGGTGTCCTGTGTTAGCCAGTCAACTATGTCCTCAGAACTTTTCGAGTTCAGGGTACGTGGCCTCTGAACACTGGGCATTATTTTAGGGCCAAAGGGAATCACAGCACCACGGCCACGACGGCCCCTGCGGGGTGGCCTGCCTCTGCCTGTCATTTTTTTTTCGATTAGTGGTACTATGCGTGCAAGCTACTGTGACAACAGATATGAGTGGCACTGTGCAGTGGCAGAAGTTGGCAGAGTAGACGCTGTAGGCCTGACACACACGCTTGCAGACAGCTAACTGCTATTCAATCTATTACAGTCAAAATTTTATTTATTTTTTTAAAATGTACACTACTGTTACACCAGATATGAGTTGCACTGGTGTGACACTGTGCCCTGGCAGGCCCTGAAACGCACACGTGTGAAGGAAACTGACTGCTATTATATTACAGTCCAAAAAGTTTTTTTTTGTTAAATGCAAGCTATTGTGACACCGGATATGAGTGGTGGCACTGGGCAAGTGGGCACAGTATACGCTGTGAGCCTGACACACACGCTGGCAGACAACTAACTGCTATTCAATCTATTACAGTCAAAATTGTATTTTTTTTTTAAAATGTACACTACTGTTACACCAGATATGAGTTGCGCTGGTGTGACAATGTGCCCTGGCAAGCCCTGAAACACACACTCGTGAAGGAAACTGACTGCTATTATATTACAGTCCAAAAAGTTTTGTTTTTTTTAAATGCAAGCTATTGGGACACCAGTGAGTGAGTGGTGGCACTGGGCAGGCCCTGAAACGCACACTAGTGAAGGAAACTGACTGCTATTATATTACAGTCAAAAAAGTTTTTTTTTTTTTTTTAAATGCAAGCTATTGTGACACCAGTGAGTGAGTGGTGGCACTGGGCAGGCCCTGAAACGCACACTAGTGAAGGAAACTGACTGCTATTATATTACAGTCAAAAAGTTTTTGTTTTTTCTAAATGCAAGCTATTGTGACACCAGTGAGTGAGTGGTGGCACTGGGCAAGTGAGCACAGTATATGCTGTGAGCCTGACACACAGGCTGGCAGGCAGGCAACTGCAATTACATTACATAGAAAAAAAAAGCAGACTGATGTTCTAGCCCTAAAAAAGGCTTTTTGGGATGCTGTCCTTACAGCAGAGATCAGATGAGTCCTTCAGGACTGTAGTGGACACTGAATACACTAGCCTAGCTATCAATTTCCCTATCAAATCAGCAGCAGCTACACTGTCCCTCCTCTCACTAAGAATGCAGCTTCACAATGAATGTAATATGGATGCTGTCCAGGAGGTGTCTGGGAGGGAGGGTCTGCTGCTGATTGGCTAGAATGTGCCTCCTGACTGTGAGGTACAGGGTCAAAGTTTACTCAATGATGATGAATAGGGGGTGGACCGAACAGCGCATATGTTCGCCAGGAACTATTCGCCAGCGAACCGTTCGGGACATCACTGGTGGTAAATATTCTAATTGTTTTGCTGCTAATCTGCTAAATAGTACATTTTGAGGCGTGCACTTCATATCTGAGAGTCAAATAGAAGCATCAAATAGTGCGCATACTGCGCAGTTGTAAACATTCTAATTGTTTTGCTGCTAATCTGCTAAATAGTACATTTTGGGGCCTGCTCTTCACATCTGAGAGTCAAATCGAAGCGTAACTTTGATTCAAATTTACTACATTGGTCACTTGTAATATTGTTTCACACCTACAACACTTGTTACACAGATTTAAGTGATAGAAAACAGATTGATATTTTCTACACTAGAAACTACCAGATAACAAGCTGTTATATTTAAACCAGTTATCAATAGCTAAGAGGTACTTAAACAATATTGTAATTCTGGGGCAATACCCTCACAAGTCAAACTGAGAGGTCAGTTTATAGGAAAAACTGTTGCCTGGATTCAATTCTAAAACAATTTCCATATTTCCTTTGCAGACTTTACATGCTGGAAAAACACAGGTGCCAACTGCTGTGTCTTTCTGCAGTGTGCATACCGGCAAGGAGGGCAGGGTTGAGGAGTGGATGGAAGATGATGTGGAGGATGATGTGGAGGATGATGAGGTCCTAGATCCCACATGGAATCAAGGTCATGCGAGTGACGTGTGCAGTTTGGAGGAAGAGGCGCTGGTCGCACAGAGGCACCAGCACAGCAAAAGAGGGAACAGGGTGCAAAAGCGGAGCGGCCGTCCCCTAGCGCTTGTCGGCATGTATTAGTTCGAGAATTACCAGTTATCCAAGTAATACATGTAGCGATCAAAGGATCCATAATAGAGTTGAGCGAACCCGAACTGCAAAGTTTGGGTTCGTACCAGATTTAACGATTCATTCGTAGTTTCACAGTCAGGTGGGCAGTCCGGTGACCAGGAGCCAGACACTGTCTGGGCGGCGGTCGGACGACCGGGACCCAGTATGCCTGATGTTGAAGTTAGGAGTCACAGTGTGGAATGGATTAGCAGGGATGTGGAGCAGGGTAACTGCACGCCCCCTGGTGTTGAGTACCAGCGTTTGTGCGGTCACATACCAGAACCCTGATTCAGCTTCAGTAAAAAGAGTACTGGATACCAGAAGCCATCACCAGACTGATCCGCAACTTGGAACAGCATGTGACATTCACTGTAGCGGCTTTGCGCGCTTTCAGCGTTCTCACCCTGCTGCTGCTCGCCTGTCAGCGCTGCAGTTTAACTTTGGCCTTCCCGCTCACTGCCTCATATGCGACGTGCCCACAAGGTGGAACTCCACCTTGCACATGCTGGAGAGACTGTTTGAGCAGCAGCAGGCGATAGAGGCTCTGCACCAGACTTCCCTCCAATTGATCAGAGTTAAAGGATTGCAAGTGGACTCATTACAATTACAGGGCCTTTAAAGAGTCCTGTATTGTTATTTGTCGTCACTACCTTCCCGCGTCGGGAGTAGGTCATTTGCGTGCCTGCTGCCTTCCTTGCATGTGGTAGCCGTTTCTCAGGGTCCCTGTACGGAATGGAACCCTGATTCACTGTTACCCATGGTCACCATGGTAGGCGCAGAAACTGGCATCGAAAGTTGATATGGATGACATCCGAATGCAAAGTCGTCATCACTGGGATGTGCGATTGGCCCGAGGTTCTCTAGAGTGAACAAAGTGCCTGCACAACTATAATGTCAACAGCTACTCTGCGGAACAGAGTTGTCTTTTTTTATGTGTCCCAATATTTTGGGGGCTACCCCAATTAAAAAAAAAAATAAAAAAAAAATAAAAATATATATATATATATATATATATATTAACAGTGTTAGCTTCCACCTACACCGCCATGGTCACCGCCTCCTCAACCTATGGGTCACTTAGTATAAACTATGTACACAATAGCAGAGGCTTGTGAAGGCCTTTTCTCCATGCATCAGGTGTTGAGCATTTCTCCATGCATCAGGACTGCAAGAAATGCACCGCAGGCCGCAAAAGTTTCTTTTTTTGTATGTCCCAATATTTTGGGGGCTATCCCAATTAAAAAATATATATATATATATATATATATAAACAGTGTTGGCTACCTTATCCTCCTCCTCCACTGCAGCTTCCACCTACACCGCCACGGTCACCGCCTCCTCCATCTATGGGTCACTTAGTATAAACTATGTACAAAATAGCAGAGGCTTGTGAAGGCCTTTTCACCATGCATCAGGAATTGAGCATTTCTCCATGCATCAGGACTGCAAGAAATGCACCGCAGGCCGCAAAAGTTTCTTTTTTTATATGTCCAAATATTTTGGGGGCTACCCCAATTAAAAAACAAAAACAAAAAAAAAACCCAGTGTTGGCTACCTCCTCCTCCTCCTCCTCCGCCGCTTCCACCTACACCGCCGCTTCCACCTACAAAAGTTTGGGTCCCAATTGACTTCAATAGGGTTTGGGTTCCGGGTCAAGTTCCAGGTCAAGTTTGAGCCCGAACGCGGACTTTTTTTCAACGTTCGACTGAACCCGCCAGACCCGAACATCCGTGTGTCCGCTCAACTCTAATTATAATATAAATTACTAAGTGAAATTGCAGAAAAGCAGAGATGAAATAGCAGAGATAGGAATGCATAGGAATTGAAATCCCTCCTTGTGCCTTGAGAGCCCCAATTTACATTGAGTAGAAATTTGTGGGTTAGTAATCCAAAGCTTGGGTGTTCCCAATCATTGGTCAGTGCTAAATACTGAATTATCCTGATCTGCACAAACTTCCCATGAATATCAGTTTGTGAAAAGGATAATATCTAAAGGAGCAAACTGCTAAAAGACACTAGCGTAAGTCCAAAGTGCCTTTTGCCCCCATTACAGATTTAGCTTAATCAGGGACCACTATTACATTGTTTGCATTGTAGCTTTCAAAGGTGGGTAAATTGAAAGGGTTAGGGGACATTACTGACCTGCCCCTTAGCCAGAGTCTCATTTGACTGGTGTTTAATGGGGAATGTCTTAAAAAGAGGTGCCCCCTAGTTACTTGAAAAACTCCAAAAAAAAGGGTATTTTTTTTATTAAATACATTTTTGAAACATTGGAGCATTAAAGGTATTTAAATATATGGGGCTTTTAAATAAACCAGAAGGAAAACAAACAAACAGAAAAATGGTACCAAACTGAAATGTGTGACAAAAAGTGGTTTGTATTGAATAGTTGTTCCATATTTGTTTGTACAAGAGAAAAAGAGGGTATATTTGGTAATATGTTCTGTTCCTTATAGAAAAAGGAGGACCTCTACAGAGAGCTGGGTAAAGAAAAACAAATTCAAAAGCAGACCTTTTCCCTGAAGTAATGAATTTTGACAAACTGAAAAACACAATGCTAAGTTTGCAGAGCTTCTAAATATGGAAATATGGAAATGCTGTACTTCTGGGTTGCATACTTGCTTTCTTCCATAAGGTCCCCTGCTGGCTGGAATTATAGGCATTCATGCATTATGACACACAATCGCATATGACTAGCTTCATTGTAGCATGCCAGAAGGCGTGTGCATGCAAGAATACTGCATTAGGAGCTGAAAGCTTAGGATCACTCTGTCTGTGTCACTTGTGTGGCCTAATGCATTCTGGTCCAGCAACTGTGAATCGACCTGGAATTACTGACTGATATCTAAGCAGGTTTCCGAAATTGTGTAGTGGTTCTGGTGTACCTGAAGACAGACCCATCGTCCAGTACACATTCGGCATCCTGAATTTGTTACTTGCCTTGCTACTTACTGGATACCAGACTCATTTTGAACCTTTTATTTCAATTCTTTGCTGTCTACTCTAATTAAAAACCAAAAACAAAAAAGTGTTAACTTCATTGCCTGCCACTAGCCTTTTTATGATCCCTATTCTCTTGTGCTTATCCTTTTGCTTCCATACTTGAGGGAGATTGTTCTGCTGCAGGCCTGTTCATCTAATGGTGATGTGCAGGGATGTATACTCTGCTAGTAGATTCCTGGACCCTCAATACTGTCACATTTGGGGGCATTCCTAGGCTTTCAAAAGGAACATTCAAATGGTGACTTGCAGTAAACCAAGCTAGCCAGACTGTCCTGTATATAATTCTAAGCAGCTTTGCTCTATGAATTGACATCTGACTTATCCTGCTAGAGAGGACCAGATGCAGTGTATAGGACACAGGTACTTGGTGAGACCCAGGTAAGTTGTATCAAAATGTTTTGAGATCTTACCGTGCGACAGCATCAGGTCTTTCCTGACACCATAACCACTAGAGTGGGCTATAATGGGTATGATGCTTGGAGTGTTCCTTTAATGCCATGTTTTATGTTTAGTGACTAGTGGGAGCATTTATTTCAAGTAAAGAACCCTTTAAGAAATAATAATACTAAAGGGATTTTATTGGTAATGTGAAATGTTTTAGGCAGGTGTGAAACAATTCTGTGATATAAGAATGCTTTAAAAAAATAGTAATGTTAATTGTTTATTTTTTATCAATTATTAAAAAACAAAATGAGTGAACATAAGAAATACAAATCAATATCTAGTGTGACCACACTTTGCCTTCGAAACAGCATTATTTCTTCAAGATACATCTGCATATAGTTTTGTAAATAACTTGGTTGGTAGATTCTTTCAAACATCTTGAAGAAATAACCACAATTCGTCTGTGGCATTGGCAGCATCTCTTGCTTCTGTCTCATCATGTAATAATAACAGACTCAATGTTGTTGAGATCCAGGCTATATCAGGGGAAATACCAAGTTTCCATGTTCTTCTGTACACCAAACATGGTTCTTAATGTATGTGTCGCGTTGTTGGCATACTGCTGAATACATTTGGGGCCAAATGTCGGTTTCCCTCATGGTAGTACATGATGGGAAAGTATCTGTATGTACTTCTCACCAGTGGTGTATCCTGGTTTTGTGCTGCCCTAGGCAGGACAAAACTCAGGCACTCTCCACCCCCGCGCCAGCCCCACCCAACCCTTCCCCCCCACCTTCTAAATACACAGACACACACATTCACCGACAGATACGCATACACACGCTAACAGACACACACTCACTAACAGACACACACACTCACTCTAACACACACACTCACTCTAACAGACACACTAACACACACACACTAACAGACACAAACTGTCAGACACACACACACACTAACAGACACACACACACTGACAGACTCACACAGTCAGACACACACATACACATTGACACACACTAACTCACTAGCAGACACACTCACACACACACACATTAACAGACACACACACACACTCACAGTAACAATTTATTTTTATTTAACCCTCCAACCCCCCTCCTTACCTTTGGGAATGCTAGGGGGGGTGGGTTCCCTCTCTCCCTGGTGGTCCAGTGGCTGCGGGCGGCGCTGGGCGGGCAGCTGGCGAGGGAGCTCTTCCTCTGAGCTGTCAGCTCAGCTCCCTCGCGCTCCGTAGAGTGAGGCTTGGAGCCGAAAGATGACGTCATCTTCCGGCTCCCAGCCTCACTCTGCGGTGCGCGAGGGAGCTGAGCGGATCGCTCAGAGGAAGAGCTCCCTCGCCAGCTGCCCGCCCAGCGCCGCCCGCCCGCTCGGCTTGTCAGTTAGCCGCGAGGCTAACAAGGCATTTGCCCTGGGCATTTGGGGGGTGGCGTTTTTTGCCGCCCCCTGAAAAATGCCGCCCAAGGCAAATGCCTTGTTTGCCTCGCGGCTAAAACGCCCCTGCTTCTCACCATTGAGGAGAGCATTAATTTTGACCAAATTCCCAACGCCATTTGCAGAAATGCAACCGAAACTTGCAAAAAAAAAACCACCTTCTACCATGATTCACTGGAGCCTGCAGACACTCATTCTTGTAATGTTTATTAGCCCTTTGGCAAAGAAACTGCATTCTGCTACAGTCACATATTTAAAATTTAGAATAATTAGTCCAAAACATATGCTGCCCTTTTTCATGCATAGTTGAGGGAACTAGCCTGGTTTCTAAATTGGAGATTCACTAATCAGCCACAACATTAAAACAAAAAAAAAGTGAATAACATGGGTCATAGAATCTCCAAAATGGCAAGTATGCAGTGGTTAGTAACTGTGGCGAAAGCTGCCTCGCCACTGGACATTGGAGAGGCCTGGCTGCCCGCCTCCTACCTGCTGACTATGGCCCCTTGTGAATTTGTACTTTTGAATGCAATATTTGGGCATGTGGTATTTTATATTGCTGCTACTGGCCCTTTAAGGGCCATCAGTGGACATATTATGATTGTTAGGAACAATGCCTTTAAGCCTGTGTAGCAGATTGCATTCAGGCTGTATTTAATATTATGTGTTCGGTAAACGGTGTTATGTGTATGCAGCATTCCCCTGATTGTTCGGTAGAATCACTCCATTCATTATATTGAGTGAAACTACCGAACAACCAGACCACCCTGGAGTAAGTGTGCCTCCAATTACCGTTTGCAACAATGTAGCAAACGGGTAATTGGCAATCTATGTAATGTGTTCTTTGTCCTCTGGGTGGCCGCCATTCGGGAAACAAACACGTGGCGGCGGCCATCTTAAACTCCCGAACAGCGGTGTTTTGCCGTCGAGTGTCTGGAACTAAAATCGGACACTCGACTAGGCAAACACCGCTGAGACCTACAGACATCCATGAGTTTGTGTGGAAACTACCGAATGACCCGCCGTTCGGTAGAAAGAACCCCATGAACAAGGGA